TATGTTTACAGTACCGTTTACAGTCAAACATTTTGATGCACTGTAGGCTCAATTTTTGATAAATCAAAAATCTGAGAAACATAGTTTGTGTAGGACAGTCTGAAGATGCTCTGTAGCAAGTTTGGTGTCAATTGAGCAAAAATTGTGGGAGGAGATAGGTTTAAGAAGTTTTACAGTTTTGAAAAAAACAGAGTGATGAACTTCATAATTTGCAATAGGGTTAAATGTAGAAAAGTTTGACTAGAGGCTACAGTTTGATGAAAGTTGTGAAGTTGTAGCACGTATGGTTGATTTGTTATGACAAGTTTTGAACTTTAGACGCTTGCTGTAGCGCCACCATCAGGACCACTGGCTTGAGTTTACAGATGAGGATATCTGGCATGAGACTGGACCTTTGTGCAAAGTTTGGTGAGTTTTCACCCATGGGAAGTATGATTTCCTTGGAAGAAGGAGAAGAAGAAGAAGAAGAAGAAGAAGAAGAAGAAGAAGAAGAATACCTAAGATTACAATAGTGTCCTGGCAGCTTAGCTGCAAAATCAAGACAGCATTGCCCAAACAGGACTGGGTGGAAAAATTAAGGGATGGGGATCTACAGTGTTGGAGGATATACACAGAGTCTTTAAAGAAGAATTTCACAATTTGAAGCAGCAGTTAAACCTAACTAGAAGTATGTAACTGCTTTTCCTGAATACACAGTCATACACACAAACATTGCTGAGGCTGAGACTACTGGATGTTGCTCTGCCACACTAATAGTGTTTCTGTCCATCCCATAATAACCAACAGATATTATTAACAGTTTATCCCACTCGATTAGACCAGAATTACTCTACCGAATTGCTCACAGAGAGTTGGTACATTAATAACTCTGGTTTCTTAAAGTAGTAGAGTAGTACCATGTTTTAATAAAGCCAGCTGACAGGATGAAGAGGTGAATGTCACATTCAGATCACACGTTAAAAACGTTTAACAGCACAACTCTACTGTACTGACCGCAGTGTGTTGGTCCATCCCATCAGGCAGCATTAAGCCAACATCTGCAGGAAACAGCTGCTGGTTGTATTGAATGATACATCTCAGCAGGCTGCGCCTAGCATTATTACTGTATAGTGACACTTCTGCCCAAGTGTCAAAATATGATGAGTAGGGATGAGATCATGTTGCTCTGTGGTAAAAAACAAAAAACAAAAAAAGAAGAGTATATGAACTGTGTCAGGATGTCACTGTGCTTCCCAGCAGTCTCTGCCTCTGTGTCTCTCTCTAAGACATCCACACTGTCCAGATGGTGATTGGCTGTAAGTGGCTTTCATCATGCCAGTAACAGTAGGCGGTGTAGATCCTCTGTTCTGGTGTCTGTGGATCAGTGTGTCTCTGTGGTAAACATATGATATCAAATGATAATAGGGGGGTGATGTCACTCTGTTTGTTTGTTTTTTGTCTTTGTCTCTCTCTGTCTTTCTCAGGTGTCCACATTCTACAGAAAATGCATGGTTGTGAATGGGATGATGAGACTGAAAGGGTTCATGGATATCAACAGTATGGTTATGATGGAGCAGACTTCCTAACATTTGACTTAGACACAGAGTCATGGGTGGCTTCAAAACCACAAGCTGTCATCACCAAACACTTCTGGGACAGACAGAGGGATAAAAATAAGTACTGGACTGGACTTCTTCACCCAGACATTTCCTGACTGGCTGAGGAAGCACCTGAACTATGGGAGGAGCTTTCTGCTGAGAACAGGTAGAATCACTTAACCTGACGTTGTTTCATGATGGAATAATAATAATGTACAGAACAATTTCCAGTCTCTAATGAGCAGTTACATAAAAGATAATGACTGAGGATGTGTCCATTATGTAAGGGATAATGTATAGTGAGCCGGTGACTCCCGACAGGGGAATGGACGCTTGATACTTTAAATGGACACCCTGCAGCCAATCAGAAGTGAGTATTCACTCAGACCAGGGTATAATCAAAATGAATATGAACCAACATAAGAATACCCCCTGAAATGTTTTTCTTTTTACACACATCTGTTTCAGTCTGTCTGTCTGTCTGTCTGTCTCTCCCCAGAGCGTCCCTCAGTGTCTCTCCTCCAGAAGTCTCCCTCCTCTCCAGTCAGCTGCCACGCTACAGGTTTCTACCCTAACAGAGCCATGATGTTCTGGAGGAAAGATGGAGAGGAGATTCATGAGGACGTGGACCACAGAGAGATCCTCCCCAACCATGATGGATCCTTCCAGATGAGTGTTGACCTGAACCTTTCATCAGTCCCACCTGAAGACTGGAGGAGATACGACTGTGTGTTTCATCTCTCTGGTGTGAAGGACGACATCATCACCAAACTGGACAAAGTAGTGATCAGGACCAACTGGGGTAAGTGGTTTCAACATCAGGTCCATCCAGTAGTAGAGACAAAGTGTGAATGTTCTGTTGTGGTTCCAGTTTCTCCCTCACAGTTTCCTGCTGGTGCTGTTATTGGAGTTGTTGTCAGACTGCTGCTGCTGCTGACACTCTGCATCACTGGACTCTTCATCTGGAGAAGGAACCATCATGGTAAGAAAGATGTTTTTACTCACCAGAAAGCCATTTCACTTTACTGCAGACTACAAGATGATATTTCAGGGAAAAAAGATCTAAAAGAAATAAAAGTGTGACATGGCTGATATTCAGTACCTTGACAGAATACAGTACTGGCATTTGGCTCATGTCCTGAAAGTTACTCTCATATCTTTAAATGTGATATACCTGTTAATCTAAATGATTTCTGATCTTAAATGTTTATTGATGTGATCATGTGTATTTCAGGTCTTAAGTATTATGCCAGATTGTCTGCCTTTCCCTCTCTCTTTGTCGAAATTGTTTAGCTTTAGACTCTTCTTCCTCTCAAACCACTTTGGTCAAAGATGCAGCTCTTGATTGATCACAGCGAGTACTTCAGCATGTCAGATACTCTGTGCAAACACTGGGTACATTTACATGCACACCAATATTCCACTATTCTATTCTATGACAATATTCTGAATTTGATGCGGGTCACGTAAACAGCACATTTTGTTTGGATTTTCCAAATTACAGTAGGCCTTTTTCTGAATTAAGCATTTTCCAATTAAGACATGTGGATTATATAAGTATTAATAGGTTTTAATAGCGTTTTTTGGCATGTATACAGCACATTCAGAATATGTGTCCCCATTGGGGTTTTTACTGCAGTTTGTGACACACAGCCTCTTGCCTGTTTACAGTCAGGTCTGTCCACTGTCATGGAGACGTACACAAAGCAACTCATCAACAGATTGCAATGCTGTCGGGTATGACTGCATACCCCCCCCCCCCACCCCCACCCCCATAATACTTTAATACTCTCCTAGGTAAACCTGTGAATCCTTTAAGCGTACAAAGAATATTCAGAAGCAGCTGATATTAATTACATTACTGACTAAACAACTGGAACAAAGATTATACCATAATACTGACTGAAAATTCTGCATTTTGGACCAAACATAGCCTACTGCATAATATGAAAGCAAATACTGTACAATTTAAAAACTAAGTCCAGTTCCTGTTGTATACTCTCTCTTTACAGCTATCCAGTGAAGATAAGAAGAGGACACATAAGTCCAACAAATTTACTGTGGCACAAATATTTGATTATGTTTTGCATCATAAACATACATACAAAACTTATTTTACTGAATATTGAGATGTTTAGGTCATAGGGCCAGTTAGAAAGTCAAAGGATACATAAAACTGGTCAAGTGTGAATTCAAGATCAGACTGACATGTGTCTGGTGTTCAATGTAAACAGTGAAGAATGACTGACTGTGTGAGAAGTGACAGAAGCATTGCAGATGCTGCTGTCCAGCTGTTTCTGCAGAGCTTTGGTGGAGAATGATTACTGCTGCAGCCAGCAGAGACCACAGACATTAAGAGAAAACCATGTTCCCAGTAGGACTCCTTGAGTTTTCAGACATATAAACTCCTACTTTTAAGTTACTGGACCTGTTTTCACTTCAGTAGGCTTTTGTCTCTATATGTTATATTCTGTTTTAGAAAACTTATGAACAAATTCAAACATGTTACATGTGTTTTGGAACAAGACAATACACAGTAACTGTCTTTAGTACATGCATGGCAGTTTATAATTTACTTAGTTGTTAACTGATCTCACTGTTACACTGGTGAGCTACAAAACATAAAAGTTTAGTCACAGCTTTCAGAGGCTGATGACATGGTCTCTGTGCATCAGTTCAGATGGCAATCGAAAAATGTTTTTGTTTGTTTGTTTGGTGAACAGAATATTGTCTAGCTACATTTTGCTGCCTTTTAGTGTTATTTTTTAGAGGTTAAAAGGTTGCTCTTTCAAGTTGCAATAAAAGTTTAGTTACATTTTGTTGCGGCTGAATGCAGCTATGCTTTCAACAACAACAAAAACATGGCAAAATACCCTGTTATGCAAGCACATGCCTTCTAATACAATGGGGGTTGATCCAGTTCAATTAAATTTAAAGGGCTTTATTGACATGGGAAGCATGTGTTTACACGGCCAAAGCAAGTGTGAAATATAAACAAAATGTATACAATCAGTAAAGATTTGCTAGACGTTTATTTGTAGACATGTTGCAGCTGATTGGTTAACACCTCTGACAGATCCACCAAATGAAAGAAGATCTATCTAAAAGCCAGCTGCACATCAGACCTTAACCTTGGAGTGTAACTCCATTTGTAGTCACCTCCACAGCTGAATGAAGCACTTTCTTCATCATGGTGAAGGGGATAAACACAGTGGTGAGCTTTGAGACAAACTTCCATCTCTGTGGCAGAAAGAGGAACTGTTGTAACTTTAAGTAACTGTGGAGAAAAATAAAACTTCATATGTATTTGTAGCACTTATATTTAACCTGTATGTGCTGCTGTTGTTTACCTTCATTGTGTATATTGTGTTTTTATCAACAAAAAAAATTAATATCTATCTATCTGTATGAACATTATTTGTGCGGAAACACAATATGTAAGTAAGTAAGTAAGTAAGTCAGCATCAGTGCAGGCTGTCAGAGGGTTTTATAGTTCACCTCCTCACAAGTTGGTTTGGGGTGGCACTTAGTGTGCAATGAGGCGTGAACGCGCAAACGCAGTGAAAACATAGACTGTATGTTAAAATAAAAGTGAGTAGAGAGAGGGTGGTTGGGAAATGCCCAGCGTTTCACAGAAAAATGTAATAAAACCCGGAAACCAGTGAAACAGTGCACAGCGATTTGACTGAACGCGCCCTGCCTTCACCTGACCTGCTGTCAAGAGGCGAAAAGCAGCTTGTGACCAAAACATGAAGATCTTGATGCTGCTGTTGTCTCTCTTAACCCACTTTGCATTTCCAGGTAAGATGCATGTTGTATCTTTCTTTTAAACACTTTCTAAATAAATAAAAAAAAGTTTGTTGACTGGTAAGTTCGTGGGGGGTGGGGGGTTAAAAAGAAACTGAAACAACTTCAGTTACACTACTTTATATGTCGCTCTTGGGGAGCTCATGTCACTGAAAAGTTATTTTCCAAAGGCGTACGTTTGGTTTTAGGGACATTTTTTTGTTGTTGGACGACTTAAATGCTGTGTTGTTTGTGTGCACTTGTTCCCTATAACTGTTTGTCTTTATACGCGTACACGCGCATGCACACGTACGAAGAGTTTGATTGCAGACCGTTTATTCAGTATGTACAGTAGGCTATTTTCGTATATTATTTCCCAAATAAAATAAATTTTAAACGGATATTTTATTTTTTTCATTATGACTGAGGCTGGAAAACTTAAATTTAAATATTTAAATGTAGATGTAATAGATTTTTGTGTTATTTGGTGTAAAGGCAAATGCACTCTGCACTGTTTCCATTTCCATCCACATGATCATTTAAATGAACATCAGCAGTTGAACTGACTTTGGTCAAAACACAAATAGGCTGTGCATAGTCCTGTACTGTTTAGTCAGTGGTAAACAATGTCAGATTTTAGTTTAATCCTGACATAAATATTCTCCAGGAGGCTAACATCACTTGTATTTCATGCAGCAGGTTATTGTTTTCAATTTAGAATAGCATTTATTTCACACCTAACACACAATAAAAAAATGTAGTTCATTTTTTATACCTGACACTGCATGCTGCCTGCACAGCATCAAACCGCAAATGGACTAAGGACAAGTAGCTGGTTGAAGAAAGGGGAGCATCCAGCAGCTAAAGACAGATATTTTTCTAAGAGGTTTGTTCAGACCAAAGTCGAAGCTTAAAGGACAAAAGGGAGTATAAACATAAAGAAGCCTAACCCAAAAATGTTTTTATCCTACAGTGAAACACTCCCTGAAGTATGTGCTCACCTCTACTTACGGAATCAATCGTGTCCCACAGTTTTTCGGTGTGGCAATGGTTGACGAAGTTCCGATGGGTTACTGTGACAGCAACAGACCAACCCCAGAAGCCAAAACGGACTGGTTGAAAAGAATTTTCAAAGAGAAACCTAAGCACTTTGACTGGTACGTTGGCAGCTGTTTGGGTAACCAGCACACATTCAAGGACACTATGGACACCTTGATGCAGCGTTTTAACCAAACTGAAGGTATGTTCTCTTTTTACTGATGAAATGTTTTATTTATTGCAAAGATGCAAACATAGTCTCCATTTTGAATTGTAAGCACAGGCACACACACACACACACACACACACACACACATACACACACACACAAAGAGTAGTCCCTCCTCCTCCATCAGGGGTGTAATGTGTAATTATCCTGAACCATTTATGTCTACTATTTTTATTAATTCTGTCAATTCTTACCTGGAAAGTTTTAGCAGTGCACTAGTTGCTGTCTATCAGCTGTAGAAGTTGAGTATATCTATGAAAATGTTTCAAACATTTTTTTTATGACGCCATCACCAGAATGTGTCAACTAGTGGAACAAGACCAAAACGGGCTGGAAGTCCTACATTCCTTTTCCCCACAGCGTTCAGGCAGCCTCCCACTGCAGATATGGACTGTACTGACTAATACTATAGTGTTTATCAGTGTGGGTAAGCGACCACACTCCCATATACTGGACGAGGTAGAAAATACCAAATTAAAGCATATGGCCAAAGTGCTTGAACCTTGCTACACTGTGCTTTGCGTGTGCATTTCAGTCTGTCCACCTCCCCTGCATTAAGGCCAACTACAAGCTGCAGTTCAGCAGTTAACAGGTCAGAGTCTTATGATGGAGTATTATTTACATTTACATTTATTTACATTACTTTTTTGTTAATTGTGTTATTCATTTTTTCTTATTGTCAAAATGTTAGTATTTGAGTGCCTTAACTCTTACAGTAAGACTATGGCCTATCAGCTACTGTTGAATGTTTACACTTTTCAAAATAAATGAAATGTTACATATATTTCTGCATTTTGGGGGAGTTTTTCCTGCTGTACTAAATCGAACTGTAACGTCTGTGTACTGTTACACCCTTACCTTCAGTCTTTCATCCATCAACTGTGTTAATCAGCTCTGCCAACAGTATTATTCAGCTATGTCAACAGTGTTATTTAGCTACGTGACTGGCTGGTTTCACTGACCTTGTGCTGCCCGCCCACTTTTTCTTTTTTTTCTTTTTCTTTTTTTTTATGTTCCATTATTGGTTTTGTCATAGAACTTCTGGTATTACCACCCTTGGTCAAGGTTACAAGCGAGCTGACCTGATACTAGAAGGTTGAGTTTAAATACTGCAGGTCTCTGATTGGTCAGAGGGAATTGTCACTAGAATTGTCAGCTGTGTGACAGGGGACGTCCTGCACAAACCAGGCATTTTTTAATAGCCACACTATAGCGAATAGAGACTGAAATGTTTTTATTAGTGCAACCCAGATTTTAAGAATGACAGCCTGTGAAACAATGAGGTACACCACAACATGCACTTAACAAAACACAGACATTGTTGCTGATGAAAGGATCCAGCAAGTGTCGTGCTGAAGATAATGTCACAGCAGTTTTAAGAGGTGCGGCCATGGCAGTCAGCTGAGAATCACTGATGGGGTACTATCAGTGGAAAATGAAGCAGAGAAAAGGACCTGGCAGTAAAAATAAGTCTTAAACAATAAATCTTTGCACATCATTTGTTATAGAGGCTCCATTTCTGTGTCTGTCTCTTAGGTGCCCACATTTTCCAGAGGATGAGTGGCTGTGAGTGGGACGATGAAACTGGAGAGGTTATAGGTTTTATGCATTATGGTTATGATGGAGAAGACTTCCTTGCATTCGACCTGAAGACACTGACATGGATCGCTCCGAAACCACAGGCTTTCATCACCAAACTGAGATGGGATGCTGAGAAATCTAGAACAAAATACAATCAGAATTACCTCGCTCAGATTTGTCCTGAGTGGCTGAAGATGTATGTGGACTATGGGAAGAGCGCTCTGATGAGAACAGGTGGGATCACATGATCTGAGACTGTTTCATGGACACAACAAAGTTCAAACATCCTGCTCAGACTGTGTAATATCACTCCAGTCATTCTGACATTACTTTTTTATTTATGGCCGTCGTCTGTGGCATCAAGATTTGATTTAGTTCTCACCAGTCAGTAGAGACTGACAATCGGGGGGGTGCTCTGATGTTATCTTCTGTCAAAGCTAAGACTGACACCCAGTGAGTGCTCAGTTAGCATGAGTTAAGTGAGTTTAAGTGCAGTGACTGGGTGTCAGTCAGCCAGCTGGCCCTTTGCTTTATTAGACTGTTTGGATTTCTTTACAATTTTGTACAAATAATCAAGGTACCCAGAGGATGAACTCTACTGCTTTTGGTGATCCTCTGCCTTTTCCTCTAGTGTCCCCAGGTTGACATTTTTGGTCCAGACTGAAATACTGTATCAAACTATTGGATGGATTGCTATGAAATTTGTTGCACACATTCATGGTTTATGACAAAATATGTGCAAAACTAATGACATTCAGTTCAGCCTCAGCTGTATCAGCAAATATTAGCATGCTAACACACAGAACTAAGATGGTATTAAAACTGCCAAGCATCTACGTACTGGTCAAATCAGCTCAAAGCACCACTCGCTCCTCTTCTCTCTCTCTCTGCAGACCTTCCCTCAGTGTCTCTCCTCCAGAAGTCTCCCTCCTCACCAGTCAGCTGCCATGCTACAGGTTTCTACCCTAACAGAGCCATGATGTTCTGGAGGAAAGATGGAGAGGAGATTCATGAGGACGTGGACCACAGAGAGATCCTCCCCAACCATGATGGATCCTTCCAGATGAGTGTTGACCTGAACCTTTCATCAGTCCCACCTGAAGACTGGAGGAGATACGACTGTGTGTTTCATCTCTCTGGTGTGAAGGATGACATCGTCACCAAACTGGACAAAGCAGTGATCAGGACCAACTGGGGTAAGACTGAGATCAGACATTGATTGAAATTGAAAAAACACACCTGTTGGTTAGCCTTGTTTTGGTTTTCTAAAGCTAGACCAGGGCCCTGTTTTACAAAGTGGGTATAGTGAAAACCATGCGTTTGTTAACCTTGAGATGAGGGCAAACTCTTGGTTTTCCATTTTAAAGAGAGAGGTAACTTAAACTCTGGGTCAGTTACTCTGGTAACTGACTCTGTGACCCCAACCTGTTCGCTGGCAGGCTTTCTTCAACAGATCCTGAGTTTCTTTCTGTCTCCTCCCGCTGACAGAGCCAGGTGGGCTGTTTCATTTCCTCACTGATTCAGAACGTATCAATGTGTGTATCAAAGTTTATTAATTAGTGGAAGTTTATTGTGTGTCAGAATTGAAGTCCTGGTTGGATAGTAGTTACTCAGGACCAAATGAAGTGAGGGCTTCTATGTGCAGCTGTCATCTTGTTAGAGAAGTTCCACCTCAATGTTTATTGCACATAATGTGTCGACTCAGTTTAAATTGTAAAAATCTATATGAAGCTTTAGACACATCGGATCAATGAATAATTATCGCTATCACTTGTGATGTGATTGGTTGCACTGATGGAACATAATTCCTGGAATATTTGAAGTTATATTTTTGTGAGTGAGCAGGATGGTGTTGTAGCTGCAGACTGTAGTTTGGAAGTCAGGTTTTTAAAAGGCTGCGTATAGTCTGAACTTGTTTTAACAGCATTTCAGTGACTGGATTTAAATTTTCCGATCACAATTGCTGAAGTAGATGAAATAAAGCGACTGAATGTTGTTGAGCAAGAGATCCAAATAGATGTGTTAAGTTTAAAATCTATTGTATTTGAACCTAAACGACATTTCAAGAGCAAATGACCGACCACACTGTTACTAAATCAGATTGAGAGCTTAAAACCATATCTCTGTTTTTGATAGATATTCTTTTAAATCTTAAACTATATTTTTTATCTTCAGCTGCTGGCTCCTGTGTTTTGTCCCTGTCAGATTAAAGCTGAACAAATGTATTTAAAATGTAATGCGGGCTACAGTGAGATACACCATATATGCATGCATTAATATCTCTACATCCACCGGACTAAAATGGAGGCTGTGCTTTTTATTTACCTGTTGCCATGGTGAATCATAGTATTGGAGCTCCACTGAGGATGGCTCGTTTCTTTCCCCACACACAAGCTTAAGTCAGAGGGAATATACTCTGACTTGACTGACCTGACTCTGATCAGCTGTTGTGGAACTGAAAACTCAGAGTTTTCCATCTCAGCGTTCATCAACTCAAAGTTCAGAGTTAGACTTTCTGAAACAGGGCCCTGGATCATAACTACAGAGGATATGCCCCAAAGCATTTTGTTATCAGGTCATCAATATAAATCATATTAATGATTATTAATCCTAGGCTAACAGGATAATCATGTTTACAACTTGTGTCTTATTTCTCATAGTTCCATTATTTCTATTAGTTATGATAACATTGTCTTCATCAAAGTCATCGTAAACTAAACATATAGATTTTTTTCCCCTTTTTTTTCAAATAAACCCAACCACCACCACCCCTAGTGGGGACCTTTTCTCTCTTTTTGTCGTTTTTATTTTTATTTTTTCCTTTTCTTTTTTTGTAATTTTTAATGTTAATTATTTATCATTTTCTTGTAATTTCTTGTCACCTCTGGCATTTAGAAATGGAGTTCAGTATAAGTGGGTGGTGATCACATACAACACAACCAATACACACACAAACAGCAACACTTCATCATAACAGAAACAGAAACAAACTAACAGATAAAAAAAAAAAACAGCAGACAAAAGCTAAACAGTTTACCTCACACGACACATGGACAAATGGCCGTACAGTAAACATTTCATATTGGCATAACAATATTCCAAAACTAGCTCAACTGCAACAAGTACAAATTAGACAAAAAAGGCATTCTTGAAGAGATAGGAGTAGAGACCATTCACAGTTCTAAGTTTCACCACATATCTTTTCTCACCACCCCTCAGCTTCAATAAACGTTTCCCACCTATCTAAGAAACCTTGGTTATATTTGTAATATCCTTCCAAAATAAACTGGTGTTTAAAGACTCTACTCAGTTGCCTTATAAATTAACCTTTTCCCTAATAATATTATTAATTTAACAGTATAGGTCTTTGTTTCTGTAACATCCCCCAACACAGACAAACATATTGATCTCCATCCAGTAGTAGAGACAAAGTGTGAATGTTCTGTTGTGGTTCCAGTTTCTCCCTCACAGTTTCCTGCTGGTGCTGTTATTGGAGTTGTTGTAGGACTGCTGCTGCTGCTGACACTCTGCATCACTGGACTCTGCATCTGGAGAAGGAACAATCATGGTGAGTGAAGCCATTTTCACTCACTGTTTGATTTAACATGTGGGTTCAACTCAAGGATAATATGTCAAAAACATTACTTTTACTCTGAAAGGATAAAAGTGTGAGCTGGCGAATTTTCAGTAAGTTTACTGCCAAAAGAACACAGTAAAGGTGCTCGGCAGATGTCCTGTATATACTGTTTAAGAGCTGCTCTCCTACATTTATATTCAAAGCAGAAATTTGTGAAATTTATAGAGGAATTCTTCAGAACAAAAGTGTTTCTTTGTTTCATAAATTCTGGATTTTCCTTAAAATTTCTGAAAATCTCTCACCTGTATTTCAGGATTCAGACCTGCAAACAGTAAGTTTTCCTTTATCAAAAATAGAATACATTTGTTTAATTATTCAGATTTGAATGTGTCTGCTATTATTTGCTTGTAAATATTAGTGATCAGTCATTCATATCCTGTCCTGTCTCTGTGATCGCTGATAACTTCAAAGTAAATTTACTTAATTATCTGCTTCTAGCTTCTGACTCTTCAGCGTCATTGGACAAAAATTTGTCACCTAACTGATCACAGTGAGTATGTCATTGTTTGAAATGTGCACAGTAGACTTTTCATATTCACAAAGACATTATAGTACTATAGGGAGCTTGACAATTGAAAGATGGTACTGCAAATACGCATTTAATGTCCGTAGACCAGAAATCAATAGTGGAAGAAGTATTCAATCAAGTTCTGCAACACAAATCTGGGTGAAGACTTTGGACTCAAGTTTTGCATTTTTGTGAAATATTGGATATTCTGACTTCTTTGGGCCTTAAACAGTTAATACATTTTTTTAAATTTTAATTTGGAAATTAACTATAGCTGTCAAGTTATTTGTAACAAAGTAAAAAGTACTACATGTATTTGAATAGAAGTATTAAGAGACATGAATTAGAAATACTCAAGTACAGTACAATTACCTCAAAATTGCACCTATGTAAAGTACTTAATTTAATATCCTTAGTTACTTTCCAACATTTCCAGGAATAGATAAATTACCTTCAATGAACATTAAAAATGCCCAATATGAACTGTAAGTACCTAATCAGTTATTCATCTTGTCCATTTATTAATTTGTCTCGACAGGCTCCCACTGAAGATTAGATGAAGACTCCAGTAAAGTTACTGTTGCATCTAAAGTGTTATTTCTTTTCTAAAAAGCATTTTATTCAAATTTGCATTCATTCAAATGTACATATTTATTTTATTTATTTGATCAAAATCAAACAATGAGATGTGAAGTTACAGAACCTGTCAGAACATCACAGGATGAGTCAAACTGCTCAAGTGTGAATCTATTTACACACCAAAGAACCAAAGAAGATCATTGAAGTGACAGTCAGAGCTGACAGAAGCATAACTGTGGAGGAAAATCCTTCAGGAGTACAACATCTGGAGAAAACTGAGGATGCCATACAGCTGCTTCTGCAGACTCTATCTGGAACACTTATCAGTGTTTTACCTTATCTGGTTTATATCATTAGTCAAGACTTTAATGCTGACCCATAAGAATTTGTAAATTTGTTAATAATCTTGTTATTGCATCAGTTCCTCTGGAGAGTTAATGACCTGTGTGGTTGGTAACTGAAAATGTAATGTAAAAAGTGTAAAAGTACATTTACTCAAATATTGCAATTCTGAGGAACTTGTACTTAAGTTAAACATTTTCATTCTATGTTACTTCATTCTTCCCCTCCACAACATTTCACCAGAAATATTTTATTTTCCTTTTTTTTAAAAAAAAAAAAATAGTATTGTTACTTTACAGTTGATGTATTTTAAGATAAGATAGAACATTGTGTCATACAAATTTGATGATAATCTTATTAAATGCAATGTTTTGGATGTAAAGGCTCAGACACACAAAACTGACTTCAGAGAGCTAGCAGCAATGAACACCCCCTGCTATGTTGCCTGACGTGGCCATGTCTCGACCAAAGAAGTTGCACTCCAACACATTGCAAAGACGACGGTCAACCAGCACATATGTTCAGCACCTGCATGAGAGTAAATAACTCTCCACACCAGCAGTCTGTAATCCTCATTCAAAGAGGGAAAGCTAAAGACTGTCTTGATGCTAGTTAGCCAGTTAGCACATTAACAATCCAATCCAATGCTGAACAACAGAGCATATTTACCATGCGCCAGTGAACAGTAACACAAACCATCACAAAACGTTTCTGCTAGAAAGCTCATGGCTAACGAAAAATAATCTTACCTTATGTGAAAAGTTTGTTTTGGTCTCACTCCCTCTGGACTTTTGCTCTTTGTTTACTTTCCTCACTTTGTTTCTCTTCTCTTGCGCTGAGTTGAACTGCCAGTCAGAGTTTTTCTTTCGCCATCAGGCTCCGCCGCCAATTCAGCATGCTGAATTTGGCCAAAAAAGAGCCGATGGGGCAGATGAGGGGCAACGCTGCGGGAAATACTGCACTGACAAGGGCGTCTGATGCTCGGCAATGGCCCAACTCTGACCAGCAGCTGACCGTGTCTGGTGTGTCAGGGCTTTAATGTTATAGATGAAAGTGTCAAGAGATGGTGTGATTTTACGCCAGGCTAACATACTTGTTATTCTTAATGTATTATTACCTAAATTAGTCTGGCTGTATTGAGATGTTTTAATCATGGTTTAATTTCACAACTGTGACAAACAATGCTGAGGCTGAGGGCAAACATTATCGTTACCTGACTGTCCATGACGGCAGGTCAGGGAGAAGCGATGCAGTTCTGCAGGGAGTTTGATTTGTGCGTAGCTGCCACAGGTGAAGTTAAAGAGGGAGGGGCAGGGGCTCGACTCAAATGCCATTGCTGGGCATACAACACACTTTTAATTGAGTATCAATGCCATGGACCAAATTAAAAAACTATAATATGAAATTAGAAATAGAAAAAAACATAAAAATGAGCACTTGCCTGAGCACCACCTGGGGTCCAGCTGTGCATGGGCCTGACATGTAATAGTCAAAATTAGCTCCAGCTTGACTGGCTACAACAAAAAATGCCACTATACAAGTTAATTTTCAGTAATAATAGATATAAAAATTTGAAAGAGACCTGCACACTGATTACTTTTACTATTGATACTGAAAGTACATTTTGCTGGTTATACTTGTGCTTAAGTTAAGTATTAAATGATGGACTTTTAATGTATCTTGTATGTTAACACTCTGTTATTGCTACTTTAATTAAGCAAAGCAGCTGAGTACTTCTGTCACAACTGCCAGATACAATTATGATATCTTTATCATTGAGTTACAGTACAGGCCAAAAGTTTGGACACACCTTCTCATTCAATGCGTTTTCTTTATTTTCATGACTATTTACATTGTAGATTCTCACTGAAGGCATCAAAACTATGAATGAACACATGTGGAGTTATGTACTTAACAAAAAAAGGTGAAATAACTGAAAACATGTTTTATATTCTAGTTTCTTCAGAATAGCCACCCTTTGCTCTGATTACTGCTTTGCACACTCTTGGCATTCTCTCCATGAGCTTCAAGAGGTAGTCACCTGAAATGGTTTCCACTTCACAGGTGTGCCTTATCAGGGTTAATTAGTGGAATTTCTTGCTTTATCAATGGGGTTGGGACCATCAGTTGTGTTGTGCAGAAGTCAGGTTAATACACAGCCGACAGCCCTATTGGACAACTGTTAAAATTCATATTATTGCAAGAACCAATCAGCTAACTAAAGAAAAACGAGTGGCCATCATTACTTTAAGAAATGAAGGTCAGTCAGTCCGGAAAATTGCAAAAACTTTAAATGTGTCCCCAAGTGGAGTCGCAAAAACCATCAAGCGCTACAACGAAACTGGCACACATGAGGACCGACCCAGGAAAGGAAGACCAAGAGTCACCTCTGCTTCTGAGGATAAGTTCATCCGAGTCACCAGCCTCAGAAATGGCAAGTTAACAGCAGCTCAGATCAGAGACCAGATGAATGCCACACAGAGTTCTAGCAGCAGACCCATCTCTAGAACAACTGTTAAGAGGAGACTGCGCCAATCAGGCCTTCATGGTCAAATAGCTGCTAGGAAACCACTGCTAAGGAGAGGCAACAAGCAGAAGAGATTTGTTTGGGCCAAGAAACACAAGGAATGGACATTAGACCAGTGGAAATCTGTGCTTTGGTCTGATGAGTCCAAATTTGAGATCTTTGGTTCCAAGCGCCGTGTCTTTGTGAGATGCAGAAAAGGTGAACGGATGGATTCCACATGCCTGGTTCCCACTGTGAAGCATGGAGGAGGAGGTGTGATGGTGTGGGGGTGTTTTGCTGGTGACACTGTTGGGGATTTATTCAAAATTGAAGGCACACTGAACCAGCATGGCTACCACAGCATCCTGCAGCGACATGCCATCCCATCCGGTTTGCGTTTAGTTGGACGATCATTTATTTTTCAACAGGACAATGACCCCAAACACACCTCCAGGCTGTGTAAGGGCTATTTGACCAAGAAGGAGAGTGATGGAGTGCTGCGGCAGATGACCTGGCCTCCACAATCACCGGACCTGAACCCAATCGAGATGGTTTGGGGTGAGCTGGACCGCAGAGTGAAGGCAAAGGGGCCAACAAGTGCTAAACACCTCTGGGAACTCCTTCAAGACTGTTGGAAAACCATTTCAGGTGACTACCTCTTGAAGCTCATTGAGAGAATGCCAAGAGTGTGCAAAGCAGTAATCAGAGCAAAGGGTGGCTATTTTGAAGAAACTAGAATATAAAACATGTTTTCAGTTATTTCACCTTTTTTTGTTAAGTACATAACTCCACATGTGTTCATTCATAGTTTTGATGCCTTCAGTGAGAATCTACAATGTAAATAGTCATGAAAATAAAGAAAATGCATTGAATGAGAAGGTGTGTCCAAACTTTTGGCCTGTACTGTATATCAGGCAAAATTTGGTAAATGTTTGTTGCCATTTACAAAGACAGGGCCTTAACTAGCTTAGCTTCTTTCCTGTCATCATCATCATCATCATCATCATCATCTTCAGAAACAACTGGGTAAGTGGCTTCAGTATCAGGTCCATCCAGTAGTAGAGACAAAGTGTGAATGTTCTGTTGTGGCTCCAGTTTCTCCCTCACAGTTTCCTGCTGGTGCTGATATTTGTTGTAGGACTGCTGCTGCCGACACTCTGCATCACTGGACTCTTCATCTGGAGAAGGAACAATCATGACAAGGAACAAAGACATTTTTACTCATCAAAGAGCCATTTGTACTCCACTGTTTCACTGTGAACACCAGTATTGTAGAGTACAGTACTGGCTCATGTATTGAGAATTACTCTCTCACCTTTTAAAATAGGAGCAGAAATCAGTGAAATTAATGGGGTATTTCCATTTTTTGTTTATCTTAAATGTTTTTAATTCTTACTAATCTCCCATCTGTATTTTAGGATTCAAGCCTGCAAACTGTACGTATCATTTCATATCATCCATCTGTCCTTTCCCTTTGTCGAAATAAACACATTTACTAGTTTTAACCTCCTGTGACACTGCATCCTCATATCAGGGTATTACATTTTAGGATTGCTGCACCTGATACTTTATTTGCTTAACTTAGACTTGTTGTTCTTATTTACTAGTCCATACCCATTGGTAGCTTTGTCACCTTCTACCTATGCCAGTCCTCAATGCCTATGTGCAGTTTCACATAGATTGATCACGTCAGTGAGTAGAAAAACGTGGGACAGACAGAATGACTGACTGACAGAATGACACACTGACAGTTTCCGTGATTATGTACAGCATACCATACCATGACTTAGTCATACCAACAATTAGAAAAAAAAAACAAACATTCGGCCACAGGGGGAGCCACAGCAATCGGTCGCATTTTAGCCATTTTTAAACATTTTTCTGTTGTTATAGCGCCACCCAGTTGCCAATTAGAGTTAAATTTCTCCAGTCACCTTGAGGCGTCCTGTTCTACATATCTACCAAGTTTAGTAAAAATCGATATGGTGGTTAGACCTAGATAAAAAATTAGCTCTCTAGCGCCCCCATTTTGTTTGATCGGGTCAATAATGGAGGGGTCCCCTCAGATTATGTGTGGTCATATGCCTACAAAGTTGCGTGGTGATGGGTGAAACCCTTGAGATGTTATACACCTTTATGTGATGAGCCACGCCCTCCGCAATATTTATTGCCTTATAGAAGCTCAGTTTTAGAAAGTTTTCCAACTTTTGCCAAGAGGGAACTTTAGATGTTGGTCCCTAGATTACGTTCCCCGAGTTTCATGCAGATCGGTCAAACTTCCTAAGAAGAAATCAATTTTAAGTATTTTTCAAAAAATTAAAAATGGCGGGGCATATTTGTTCCTCATGAGGAGAGGCATCTCTGTGCAAAGTTTCATGTCTCTACGACATACGGGGCATGAGATATGCCCATTCAAAGTTTGCAATTTCAGTCGGTTGCTATAGCGTCCCCCTTTGGCCAATTGATGTAATATTGCTTCATTCGCATCCTCCCATGACCCTCTACCACTGTGCCAAATTTCACATGGATTGACCAAGTCTGTGAGGAGAAAAACCTGGAACAGACACACAGACACACACAGACACACAGAGTTTTCATCATTCTCTTGTAAGATAAGATGGACACTTTTATCTGCCATCTAGTGGTAGCAAGAACACAATACAATAATCCATGTAAAAACAAGATGGCAGCCATCTCTGCTGGGGAATTTTTCCTTATCTGCTGCGAGGGTCCTAAGGACAGAGGGATGTCGTATGCTGTAAAGCCCTCTGAGGCAAATTGTGATTTGTGATACTGGGCTTCATAAATAAAAGTGATTGATTGATTGATTGATTGATTGATTGGTTGGTTGGTTGGTTGGTTGGTTGATTGATTGATTTGCGCTTATTAACTAATCACACCAAGTTAAGATCTTGTTAATTAGAACATACTCATTATAGGACATTGGGACTTTATTATCATCTTGTGTGACAACAGAATATAGTGTTGTATTATTGCAGCATTTCACACAGGCCAATGAGGTGTGTCAGACTGTTCCTACAGAACAAAAAGGGCATTCCTAGCTAGGAGTATGGAGCAGGGAAAATTCATACAGAGTTACAAAATGAACAAATCCAAAGACACCCTCCATTATTGCAGCGCTGCTTTTGCACAGCCACATTCAGGCACTTAATAAACACTTTTGAACAGTTTTAGACTTGAACTGTGACCCCTAACCTATAGAGTTACAAGTAATAAACAAATGTTGCATTGTTTGTAATTTTGTTTTTGCACAACAATTTTTCAGACATTAAAATAAACAGGTTTATATTTTATAACACACTTGTGACTATTAAAAATAAATCCAGTGTTTTATACTTATTAGGTTCCACCTATCCTAAATAGCTAAGTGAAATTAGAATTCCATACCAAACAAAAGCTCCAGTCACAGGATAAATTCAGCTACTGACACTTTGTTTTTCCTGTAAAGCCTCAGACTCGTCATCTTCTCAAACTTCTTCGGTCAAAGATGCAGCTCTTAACCGATCAAAGTGAGTACTTTATCACGTCAGCTGCACTGTGCAGACACGTCATGCAGAATCCCTCCTTTGTTGCCCCGCCTGAAACTAGCTACCATATACTGACATACTGATATAATACTCTTTAATACTCTCTTTGCTGAAACTAAACAGCTGGAATAAAGATTTTATTATAATACTAATGGAAAGTTCTACATTTTGGAACAAAGACACTGCATATATATGAAAGCAAATACTGTATAATATAAAAACTAAGTCCAAGTCCCAATGTATTTCTCACTTTACAGCTATCCAGTAAAGATAAAAAGATACATAACTCCAGTAAAGTTACTGTTGCACAAATATTTTATTATATTTGTATCATAAATATGCCTAAACAAAACTCGATCAGATCAGATTTACATGTTTCAGGCTGTTAGTGCTTACAGTGAAGAATGATTATCTGAGAAGTGACAGAAGCACTGGTGTGATAACAGGAGTAACAACATCTGGGGAGAAGTGATGCTGCTGTCCAGCTGTTTCTGCAGACCTTTGGAAGCCAGGGGCATGCTGGCTTGCAAACTGCAAAATGTGACTGGCTGCAGTAGAACAACCTGGTTGGCAAACGGCATTTGACATACTATGTATTGGGAGACTTACTAAATCTTTTTCTAGCATAGTAAACTGTATGGTTGCATGTGCAGAGGTGATTCTAGAGTCTGTTAGGGCCCTAAGCAAAC